AAAACGTCAGAAACACTAAATTCTACGGAAGAAATGTCAGAAGGAAGCTGCAGCCAGGTTTTTTTTTTAAATTGAATATGGGCGTGGCGTCGCCCACTTATGGACCAAAAACCACATCTCAGGAAGTACTCAACCGATTTCAATGAAATTCGGTATATAATATTTTCTTAACACCGTGATGACATGTACCAAATATGGGTGAAATCGGTTTACTTTATCACGCAAGAGTATAAAATGTTCGGTGACACCCGAACTTAGCCCTTCCTTACTTGTTTATTCTTTATTTTTCTTTCTTCATTTGTTGTTGATCATCACAATTTGTTTTTCCAAGTATTATTCTAGTTTATACTCTTATTTATAATTTTTGAAATGTTTTATTTATTTTAATTGTTTCTATTTCTTTTTCTAAATTCTATTATAAGTTTACAATTTTTTTTATTTTATAATTTTTTTTTCTTGTTTTGAAAGTTTCTTAAACATTTCTGCCATAATTTTACTTATTTTTCCAAATATTCCAATTAGCTTGCACTCCAACGCTTCTGCATTTTACATGCTTCTATAATTTTTCTGCATTCCCTACGCTTGCTGCAATTAAAGCGTCCTTTTATTTGCTGGCCCCTCTTTGGTTTTCTTCATATTCGCTATTCCACGGTTTGCTTTTTCCAATCTATTTCTATTGTTCGCCGAATTTCCCAAATATTTGTATGATTACGAGCAGCTCGTTTAATTAAACTGGATGAGAGTAGTTTTCGAATAGTTGAACTATTTTATTGTGTGTGATGTTGATATGAGTATATATACCTATATATATGCACTCTCTTGCAATACGACCTTTTAACACACTTCTACATGCCTGCATAAAATTTACCTGCATCTTCTATTGCGATAAAAATTATTGCAAAAACTGAATCTGTGCTGAAGATTTGCACTTTTGGGATGCACATTTATTTATTTTATATGAAAATGCTTAATAAAGATAATATGAAATACATAATTTTTCTTAATAAAAGCATTATCTTAAGTATACTGCTTTTCTATCTTCTTTCTATTAAATTATAACTTATACATCACTCCTACCAAACCAAAACTAAAAATTGGCACTTTAGTAAATCGACTGCAAGATAAGCCACTTCTAACATTATTGTTCAGTTTAAACTTTAATTAGATTTCTTCTGCACGTTTTCACGTACTTTTTCGCATTTTGCATTCCACGTCATCAAGTGATGATAAATGATAATAAACAATAGCAAATACAAACAGGCAGCAATGCACGTACAACCACGCATACAAATATACATACATATGTAAACTTACTATGCGCTTCGTCATCTCAAGCGTAAGATGCAATTTCGTGATTTATGCACAAAGAAATCATTTGGGAACGTCAACTGCTCGGTAGTGCCTTCAGCTATCAGCTGTCAACTCCACGCAAGTGAGCATGCGTTGAAGCTCAGGCGATGTGGCATGCCGTTGTGTGCAACTGACAAAACGACAAACAGTCAGCATGACAAACTCACTACAGATCATAGACTACCGCATACCTCTAAGTAGCTGCACTCATACAAATGAAACGAATACAAATCATAGACCTCAGAACAGCTCAGAGATGCAACACAACAGCTTCGAGTATGCGTAAGGAGTAAACAAAAGTTTGGCAGCAAAACGTGCAAGGCGTCGTAAGAAACGCAACGACAAGTCAATGAAAGCAAAACCACACACATAGACAGCCTGGGGAATGCTCGCATACCAGCAACACTGAAATATTCACTTTGGTATAGACTCATGCATTTTCGCAAGAATTTCATCCAGCAACACAAAGCGCTTTTATTTGGCATTCAGCTGCTTTGGAGCTTTGTTGTATTGCAGGTTGATGAGTGAAGTGATTTTAAGAAGCCCGGCTTATACTTAGTAAATTAGTATTCAAAACAAAAATCAATTATTTGATTTTGAACTCTCAGTTTGTACGACAGCCGCATGACACAGTTAACCGATCTCAACAATTTCTTCGGAGGTGGTACCATTGCTTTAGTCATTCATTCATGATAAATTTCGTGAAAATATCTCGCCAAATGAAGAAGTTTTCCATATAAGCACTTGATTCCGAACGTTCAGTTTTTATGGCAGGTATATGTTATAGTAATCATATCTGCATAATTTCTGCGCAGAGTGCACAATTGCCTTAGACAATATCTCATGCAAAGCATCGAGAAAATATCTCGTAAACTGAAAAAGTTTTCCATATAAGCACTTGAATCCGGTCATTCAATTTGTATGACAGCTATATGCTATAGTGGTCTAATATCGTCAGTTCCGACAAATGAGCAGCTCAATGAGGTGCAAAAAACGTCTACAAAATTTCAGTTCAATATTTCAAAAATTGAGGCACTACTATGTGGCAAACTTAATATACCCTGTTCAGGCTATAATAAAATATATAATTATTTTTGAGTTTTGAGTTTTTCAAGAGAACCATAAATTAAATTTACATTCATTTTCAATTTTTATCTATTTCACAGTTAAACCGTACTTAAAAGGCGTACAAAAAACCGTAATACACATGTCTGCTGCGGCGTATCCTTAAAGCCAATTGAAATTGCGTGACCTGACCGGGCTGTGCTGCCACTTCTGTGAGTAGCACATTACAGCATACACATATAAAATTATATTATGTACTATATTTAAACTAATATACACGACGGAGACTGCACGCAACCGGCCTGTCACTAATTAAAAACGAAAAAGGCATATCAGCGTGGTTTAATCGATAAATCGATGAATTTGTAGTGCAGTTTGCAGTGAAATATAAATTAAGTATAAAGCGCTAGGATGTGACATGCTTAAATGCTATATATATATAGCTAGATTACACTATGTATACGGATGTATGTCTGCGTACAACGGACAACRTGCATTGGCTGGAATTAATTACTTTGTGTAGCATACACTTGGGTGTTGTGGCATATTGTTTTTGAAATTCTATAAAATAATAACATTTATTGATATTTAGATATATATACGAGCACATAAATGCATATACATTGTCTCAAAGGAGCGCTCATTTTATATTTACCAATTTATCAGCTCGAATGTGATCCATTAATTTGATTTTAACACATTTCAAGCCAAATAATTAATGCCTAGCTAAAGCTGCAGTGACACGAAGACGATAAAGCAGGCAAACACACGCGCCTACAAGCATTCTATTACATATCTATGCGCATTTGCAGAAATTCCGGACACGTTGTGTAGCTATAAAACCACAAATGTACCGCGCTATGCGCCTAAATGTATGCAAATCCCAAAGTGGCGCTATGACAACAGTATTTATGCGCGCGTTTAATGCGCTTTGCATGTCTGTATGTTTTGCTATAATTGTGTTTACGCCATTTTGTGGCAAATAGCAGCGGTTGTGCCACTGTATCGCTGTCTGTCTGCCCGTTTGTCGTTTTGCATTGACATTTTACTCTGTGTTGGCGCAAAAATATGTATTTGTGCAAATAAATTAGCTACCATTTCCGCTCGTACTTGCCTTGCTCCCACAATTATTTGTATTTATCTAGTGCCTATGTATTAGTTTAGACCGACCGAGACTCTGTTGCACTTTTGCCCTTTGGTCTCTCTGCTTTATGACCTGGTCGGCTTAATATTTTAGTGCTTGGAGTCAAATGGTTTTGCTTTCACATTCAGCTTAGACCTGATTAATTGCATTGCTCTTTAAATTTATTACTTCATATATATATTTGCTAAACTTGCTAATGACCTTATGGCGATTATCACGTGTGTCTAGTGTGAATATTAGCATGCTTAAAGTTTCGAGCACGAAATTGTATGCATACTTTATGGATATGGGCCTTTGAGATTTCGAATTTATCAGATTGTTTTATGGTTACTCTAGAATGGTCTGTGTTGCGCATATATGCCAGAAGTAATACCAATATGTGCTCAAATTGAAGAATGAAGAAGAAGTATGTACAGTGTATGTATGCTTTTAGAAAATATTTTTTTGGGAAGGTATCTAGTTATCTTACGAAAAGAACTAAGAGGGCTGGAGTAAAAATTTATTATTATTACTTTTTTTTTTTTGAGTGCTTCCAAAATTGATATGCTTATAACAAGATTGAACAGACCAATTGAAAAGTTTTCGGCCTACCAAAGAAAAACACATATTTTTAGCAAAATTTTTTTTTATTCAACATAGTATTATCCTTTCCATTTTAGTATTTGTCTTTTGCTTCAAAATAGGTCTCAATTTTGGCGATCACAACTTCATTCGACAAAAATTTCTACCTTGCTCGCGTTTTTTGAGATCGGAGAACAAGAAATAGTCGCTGAGACCAGACCTGGAGAAAACGGTGGTTGTGGAAGTAATTCGAGTCTCAATTGAAGGATTTTTGTTATGGTTTTCACTGACTTATGGCATGGTGTATTGTCTTGGTGAAACAGTTTTTTCTTTCTTTCTTCAAATGCTGCTGTTTTTCGGCAATTTCGTCCTTCAAATGGTCCAATAATGCAATGTAACAGTCGCTATTAATGCTATTTCCATTGTTTTTTAAATAATTCCATTCAGCTCCCAAAATGCAGACGCCATAACCTCACCAGCCGACTATCGCATTTTTCCACGTTTCGAAGCTGATTCATCTTTTGCAACCCCATGGATGACTGTGGATTAGACTTCGGAGTGAAGTCTTGAAACCATGTTTCATCCATTGTCACATATCGATGCAAAAACTCGGAATTATTCCACAAACAGGGAACTTATTCACAACTCGCAATTTCGGCTTTCCAAAGAGCTCCAAACCTTTCACGACAAAATAGAACACAAAAAAACTTGCTGGTCACTGGCTTATATGGGTCAAACACAGACAAAACAACAAAATAACGATGGCACAACACAAACGTGGAATTAATGGCAACTCATTGTCGCTTTCCCCCACAAAACACTTAACGGTGACAAATTTTGCATGCACTCACAATTCGGGCCGCATTAAGTGCGTTGAGTGACGCAAGCGGTGAGCGAAACGAAACAGGAAAGTACCAGCAATGGTGGACATTTCCGTGTCTAATAGTCATTGTGGCGACTTGAGTACCAACTAATATGGCGATTTAACAATGGCTTAGTGGATAGTGTAAGGCACATAAATGTGTGTGTGTGTGTGCGTGTGTGTGTGTGGGAGTACACACAAACGGCGACAGCAAATTAGGTGCGGATGGTGTGCGGCAGTTCGGGTGGCGCTTGTGTGAAAATGGTCAGCTGCGCGCGCGGACGACACACACGTGAGTGAAATTGAAATGTAGAATTCCGGCAAGTACGCGTAGAAGTTGAGAATATTCAAAAATCAATATTCAACTCTGCATTCACATTCAACCACCCACACTGCTTAATACATTGAAAAGCTTTAGTGGTTTTAGAAATGAAAATTAACATTTTGCGCTTGTCAAATGAGAAATCGTGCCGCCACACACACAACGGCACTCAGTTTGTGTGGCGCTGGTGGCAGCAGCGGTAATTGAAATCGATATGCGGCAACTGTTGATGCCTAATAAAGTCGCTGCCACATTTTCTACGGCGACAAATGCACACACACACACAGTTGTGGAAATATATGAAAGAAGAAAAAACGGTTATTTACCTTGCACCGAAGTAATATCCGCAATACCTCAGTCAGGTACAAAAGATACTTACTTTTATGGGTCAATTTATATGGCTACAATATCTCGTTAAATGAAAAAGTCTTCTATACAAGCCCTCGATTTCGATTGTTCAATTTTAGACAATAATCCATACAGAATTTCATCTCATCAAATAAATGATATCTCTTTCAAATTAAAATATCTCTTCAAATAAAAAAGTTCTCCACACAAGCACTTTATTCCGATCGTTCAGTTTGTATGACAGCTATATGATATAGTGACATAATATCGGCCGTACCAACAAATGACCAGATGCTTGGTAAAAAAAAGGACGGAAACAAAATTTCAGATTGATATCTTTAAAACTGAGGGATTAGTTCGTATATATGTAGCTACGGAGGGATAGACGGAAATGGCCAAATCGAATCAGGCTGATCATTTATGTGTTTCTTTTTTGACTATGGGAAAGTTAATATACCTCGTTCAGGGTATAGATATGGATCTACGAGTGTGTGTACCCGACAGGTGGCAACTGCGCGCTGTTAGTGGCGGCAGCGCAATCGATGAATCGCTTGCTGATTGGCAAACCCCAATTACAATTGCAATTGCCAGCCGCGTTTGCATGCACCACTTTACTCACTGTTGCTGTTGTTGGTTGGACAAATGTAAGGCGGCGTATTGAGTGCGACGTGCATTTGCCATATTGAATTAATGATGAGCGCTAAACGCAAGTGAACTAGTTGCTTCGGAGATCACGTAAGTAGCTACAGCAACAACAATGCGACGCACTTGCAAGCAGGCGCGTGTGCGAGTGTGTGTGTTGCTGTGGTGGATTGTAATGGCTATCGTTGCACTGCCGCCACAAATGAGCCACTTACAGTTATTGTGAAAGTGCGGTGTAATTGCACATTTCCCGCCATTGCATTACCACTACAAGTACGAGTATTATATTTACTTCATTACACAATGCTTAAGTGCGTGGCATTAAAGCAGTGTGCTGCCAAATAGGTTTCTAAGAATGCGGCGGAAATGAAATAAGCAGACGCTGCTGCCACCTTTTTGCTGCCCTTTTTGTTTTTTTTTTTGTGTGCGTTGAAATAATTAAGCGCCGGTTTTTAGGTCAACTGGCCAAGGTGAGTTGCTTAGCTGGGGTTTTTTAGTTACTTGCCTGACATGTGTGTTGGCGTTAAGCACAGCTGGGGGAGTGGATTTTTTGCTTTTGCTTTTCGTGGAAAAGCTTAAATTTGTGAATATTATGGAGAAGCAGGTAATAACAGTACAAATAGAAATATTTAAGCGCTTTTGTGAGGGCATAAAATAGTTTGGCAAAATAGCTTTGAAAATAAAATTATATTGTAATCAGAAGAGATATTGACTTGGACTATTTTGCCAATGAACCATGTACCACAAAGAAGAAAGTTTCAATACCGCAGAAATTTTTTTCAGTTTTTCAATTTAAGGACCATATAACCCCTATCGCTTTTTATTTTTATTTTAAAGGTGGCAACTCTTAAAACATTTATTTAAAACGTTTATTAAATGCATGAAATAGTTTTAAGTACAATTTATCTTAGTAGTCGCCCGATTTTTGGATTGTTTTCAATTTTCAGCAGGTGGCATCCTCTCTTAATAAACTAAGGGTGGCAATTATGGCCAAAATATTTTCAATTCTAAGCTCTTTTAGTCTTTTCAACCTTTGTTTTATTTTTCATTTTCATTTTTACAAGGTGGCAACCATTACTACGGTAAATAATTGTACAAAATTTTTTCAACTGCAATTAAATTTAATAAAACGTGTCAACAGCTGGCCGCTGTGCACAAACTGTATGAAGACTATAAAATCACTTTCAATTATCAAGATTTCTAGAATTCAATTATTTTTTTTATCAAATTTTCAAACGTTGGCAATCCTTTTTAAAATTATTAAATTAAAAAAACAATCAGCTGCAGCTTTCTTAAGCCATTTCACTTCACGGTGCTGCCTTGTTAAATTAAT